CACAATGCACTGGATAGCTGGCCAATCAGAGCACACCTCGCTTTTCAGACCGATGAGCTTTGTAAAAATCGACACGTTTCAGAAAGGCGGGGCATAGAGTAGAAACAATAACGTACAGTATGTGGAAAATAATGTGTTTTTTGAACCTTAAACCACATAAACACATTTCATTACACCAAATACACAAAATAATGTTCTTTTTAGCAACATCATATGACCCCTTTAATTCACCCTTTCACAAATTAAGACCTTGAAGTCTTTATCTTATCTTTATCTATCTAAATCTGAGCCAAAAGTTCATAAAGTCATGGCTTTAAATGTTGCATACATTGCAAAAATGAATGATTTAATTTTTGTCTTCTTTTAATATGATTTAACATCCTTAAATCAACATACGTTTACTTGGGATGGAAAATTAAGATATGAAGTATTTTCTGAGAAACTGAACAAAATTAAGTGAGTGTTTGCTTGAACAGATATCTGTGAATGGGGTACAATAAACTTGCTTTTTTTCTTTGAATTTTAATTATAAACGCTTCATTTTGATCAGTTTCTCAGAAAACAAGACTTATCTCATTTTGCAACACAAGTAGATGTATCTTGATTTAAGAATCTTTTGCACTGGAAAAAAAAGACAAAAACACTGAGGAAGGACAGCACTTTCTGGTACATTAAAAGTTATTTAATAAAGATCTGTTGGAAGTTGCATTTGCAGACATTGAAGTGTTGCTAATACAACTCATTGTGTGCTTCTTAGACATTTAGAGAACATATTGATGAATTGTTTCCTTCAATTTAGGCTATTGCTTACTTTGTAAAACTTGGTTAAATTTACTTTCAGAAAACCTGCAGAAGCCCAATGTTGGCATTTCTGTATGTTTATAGATGTTATGCATCCTGCATAACTGCGTCCTGTGAAACACAATCACGTCTGTTTCTTTATTTGACCAGCGTTTGGAATATGAGCAGCGGTGTTGGCTAATACTGTTGCTGTGGAAATAATGCTTAGGTCATCCGCAAGCAGCCGAATACGCTGTTTTACTTTTCATGAAGTTTCAGTTCTTCTCCTCAGAATAATTCTTTAC